CTCCCCTCCTCCCCTCCTCCCATACATTATGACAAAAGAAAAAAGCAATAAAATATTCCCAACCCCAACCCCCTCCACAAACCTGATTTTTAAGACCCTAAGACGGAAAAATACAGTGATTTCATAAAGATTATTTAAACAAGCCTATTTATAGCATTATTTCTATCTTTCTTATAAAAGTTACTTTATATTTTAAACAAATATTAATTTCAAAAAATGCGCAAAAACATCATGATTAATTCAGAAGGGGAATAAGTGCTGTAACACTTATCATGTTCTAGTAGATATAATAAAAATATATAAAATAATGGGAATTATCATTGGATTCCACAAAGTGGCTCTTCTTCCACTGGACTCCAATATTGGAATTTAAAAGTTGATTTTTATGGAGGGAAGGAAACCAGAGAACCTGGAGAAAAACCCTCAAAGGACAGGAGAGAACCAACAAGCAACTCTAGTCATATTCACCATTTTCCATAGATCGGTTCATTGGTCAAACACAAAGAATTCAGTTGAGGTTGCAAGGTTAAACTTTGAATAATCCTTGGCGCCTCGCTTGAGCGCTTTGTGTTTGACCAGTGAACCAATGCATGGAAAATGGTGAATACAACATTGATCCATAATTATAAACTATTTACTATGGATCTATTAGTAACTATTAACTATGGATCTATTAACTATGATCAATCCTGACAGGACTCGAACCCAGATCACATTGGTTAAAGGCGAGTGCTCTCACCCCTGCACCATCAGTGCTTCTGTGAGAATATCTTTTTTTGGGGGTGGGGGGAGGGGGGCAAATAAGAGTACTATGGAAATGTCTGTTAATACAGGAATTTTTAAAGAGTTGTATAATTATTGATGTTTTATTCTAATACCTGAAGTCTGATTATAAAATGGGGTGCAACATAAAACCGTTATAACTGATTGAAGACTCTTGAAATTATTTGGGATCTTCTTTAAAAATTGTTGGAAAATTAATATGGATATTAACAAGGTGGGGAGTAATGTAATGGGATGGTTTGAAAAATTGTTGGAAAATTAATATGGATACTAACAAGATGGGGAGTAATGTAATGGGATGGTTTGAAAAATTGTTGGAAA